ATTCAGTGGGTGGGTGGGGGGGGGGTGAGGGGTGAGGGGGGAGATATTGGTGAGGAGAATTGGGGGAGGGAGGACGGAGGAACGATGGGAGTTTATTTAAAGCACGGTGACCCCGTGGCCGAAGGCTGCCTGGGTGCAGGGATGAATAAAACTTTAATGGCTCATAAAACACAGAGACTCCTTCTCCGAGCTCCGCTTCACGTGCTTTATTCCTACTGGACCAATCAGAGCGCTCGGAAATCTCCCAACACAAGGAAAACCAAAAGAGGAGAAAAAGTTCAAGGAATATTTCAACAGTTTTTCTTTTTTTTTTTTTAAAAAGTTTGTTCACCCTGCAGGAGGAAAAGTGTTTCAGCGACCCAGACCTGGTTCATCCAGGGTCCAACATCAGGGTCGTGTCCAATCAGCCTCCGTCTGAACCGTCATGTGACAATAAGTCAGTGACTTTAACGTCACTGGAGGCGAAGATCAAACGTCAACAATCTAAGAAACCAGAACGATGGGTCGGGTCTCTGGACAAATCAGATTCCTGGATCAGACAGAAGCTCCCAGGAAGAGATGTTGGCAAAGGTTGGGGAGCGGCCCCAACCGAGGCCGTCTAATTGGTGCCAGGGTCTAACCAAAAAAACATTCCGGGTTTTTCAGAAGTTCAAAACTGATGTAAAAACAGCCAGGGTTCACACGGTTCAGAACGGTTCGGTACGGTTCACTGAAGCCTGATCTTTAAATCTGTCTGTTCTAAAAATATATACAGAGAAAAAGAGACGTCGACCCATATCGATTAATCACGACTAATTGCGATTAATTAAGGTCGTGTTTAATCCTGATAAATTAATGATTACAATCAATCACCATTAAAGGGATCAGGACTAATCGTCAACAAAAACAAAGAAAAAAAAAACAAAACAAAAAAAACAAAAACAAACAAAAACAAAAACAAAGGGATGTTGGCAAAGGCTGGGGAGCGGCCCCAACCGAGGCCGTCTAATTGGTGCCAGGGTCTAACCAAAAAAACATTCCGGGTTTTTCAGAAGTTCAAAACTGATGTAAAAACAGCCAGGGTTCACACGGTTCAGAACGGTTCGGTACGGTTCACTGAAGCCTGATCTTTAAATCTGTCTGTTCTAAAAATATATACAGAGAAAAAGAGACGTCGACCCATATCGATTAATCACGACTAATTGCGATTAATTAAGGTCGTGTTTAATCCTGATAAATTAATGATTACAATCAATCACCATTAAAGGGATCAGGACTAATCGTGGCGAATACAAATGAACCCACAGCCAAACTGTGATCAATCAGATTAAAACCATTCATTATTTGACAACCGTAGTCGTTAAATCATCTAAGAATAAAAGGTTTATCATAAACTCTTCGTTTCTAATTATTTGTCTTTCTCTTCCAGCGATACAAGAAATATTTCTTTCCTCCAAAATTAGGATTATTCATGTTTGATCCACAACGACACTGAGATTCATGAGATTAAAAATAGTTTTCATAAACAGGATTAAGTTCGCTTCAGATTTCTAAATCTAGGTTTTCACAGCATTCCTGGGAAGTG